ACCAAATGACTCCCTTCCGGCGTCCGGTGGCGCGCGGTGTCCCGCCGGTGTCCCGCCGGTGTCCCTCCGGTGTCACTATGATGATGATGATGATGATGATGATGCTGATGATGATGATGATGATGATGATGTCGATGATGTTGATGATGATGATGATGGTGATGGTGATAGAGGTGATGATGATGGTGTCCCGATGATGATGATGATGACGATGATGATGATGATGATGATGATGATGATGATGTTGACGATGTTGACGATGATGAGGATGATGATGATGGTTATGGTGGTGATGATGCTGGTGTCCCGATGATGATGATGTTGATCATGATGTTGCTGATGATGATGGTGTCCCGATGATGATGATGGTGATGATGATGATCATGATGATCTTGATGATGATGATGAGATGATGATGAAATGATGATGATGATGGTGATGATGATGAAGATTATGATGATGATGCTGGTGTCCCGATGATGATGATGATGATGATGATGATGATGATGATTACGATGATGATGATGATGATGATGATGATGATGATGAGGTTGATCATGATGCTGTTGATGATGGTGATGATGATGATGGTGTCCCGATGGTGATGCGGATGATGATGATGACGAAGATGGTGTCCCGATGATGATGATGATGATGTTGATGATGAGGATGGTGATGAGGTGATGATGATGATTTTGATGATGGTCGCCCGATGATGAGAATGATGATGCGCATGTTGATGATGATGGTGTCGCGATGATGAGATGGTGATGATGGCGGTGACGATGATGATGGTGTCCCGATGATGATGATGATGATGATGATGATGTTCATAATGATGATGATAATGCTGATGATGATGGTGTCCCGATGATGATGATGATGTTGATGATGTTGATGATGATGGTGATGATGTGATGATGATGGTGTCCCGATGATGATGATAATGATGATGACGATGCTGATGATGATGATGTTGATGATGACGATGATGCTGTTGATGATGATGACGTAAATTGTGAGATTGATTGTGAGATCGATAGTGAGATTGATAGTGAGACCGAAAGTGGTATCGATTGTGAGATCGATAGTGAGATCGATTGTGAGATCGATAGTCAGATCGATTGTGAGATCGATCAAATGAAATAGATCGAGTGAGATCGACTGTGAGATCGATCGAGTGAGATCGATCGAGCGAGACCGACAGTAAGATCGATAGTGAGATCGATAGTGAGACCGATCGAGTGAGACGTTGGTTCCTCCCCCCCGAACCTCCTTATCACCCGAAGGGTGGTCGTATATGTAGCATATAAGTGACCAGGCGCCGAGGGTCGACACGAGTGCAGCACGACTGGGCGTGGTTAAATCTTAGGCCATCGCTTCACGTCAGAAACTATGGAGTCCATATGGAAGGTGCCGTCCGTACGGTGACGTCGACGGAGTAGGGACGACGAGGAAAAGGAGGAGGAGAGGCCAACGGAGAAGGCGAAGCAGGAAGCCCACGACCAGCTTGGCAGGAGCAGCAGCAGAGAAGCAACGAAGACACTGGTGGGTCAATATACCACTCGTCCATCCCGCCTCCCGCCCCACTGCAGGCGTCCCACATGGGGCCAGAGTAATCGGATGGGATAGGGGATTGCAATGCTGGCGACGTCAGGATGGAGGAAATCGTGCTCAAGGTCGCGCCGCAGTGCAGTCCCCCAGCCCCACCACTGCAACCTTCGACCCCCTTGGGGAGAGCTGGACCCCCCCCTCCTCCTCCTCCTCCTCCTCCTCCTCCTCCTCCTCCTCCTCCTCCTCCTCCTCCTCCTCCTACCTCCTCCTCCTCCTCCTCCTCCTCCCCTCCTCCTCCTCTCCTCCTCCTCCTCCTCCTCCTCCTCTCCTCCTCCTCCTCCTCCCCTTCCTCCCTCCTCCTCTCTCCTCCCTCCTCTTCCTCCTCCTCCTCCCTCCCCTCCTCCTCCTCCTCCTCCTCCCCCTCCTCCTCCTCCTCCCCTCCTCCTCCCTCCTCCTCCTCCTCCTCCTCCTCCCCGTCCTCTTCTTCTTCTCCTTTTTCCTCCTCCTCCTCCCTCCACTCCCTCCTCCTCCTCCTCCTCCTCCTCCTCCTCCTCCCTCCTCCTCCTCCTCCTCCTCCAGCGGCCCGCGTGCCCTCCTCACACGCCGCCCGCGCCCGCCGGCCTTACGCGCGGGCCCCACCGCCAGGCGCCAGCCCAGCGCGCAGGCGGCGCCCCGGTGCAGTCCCCACCGCAGGCGCCAGCCGCGCCGCGCCCGCGCCGCCGCTCGCCAGCCCGGCGCCCGCCGCCGCCAGCTGCCGCCCAGCGCCCGCCGCGCCAGGCAACCCCTGCGCCGCCCCGCACCCGCGCCGCCGGCGGCTGGGCGCCTCGCCGCTTCCAGCGCGCGCCGCCCTGCGTCTGCTCCGCGAGCCGCGCCGCCTCCGCGCCCGCGCCCGCGCCTCCAGCGCGCCGCCGCCGCCAGGCCGCCGCTAATGCGGTGCGCTCCCAGCTTCGCGCGCCTCCTCCGCGGGCCCGTTGCCCAGGCCAGCCCGCAGCTGCCGCCCAGCGCCCGCCGCGCCAGGCAACCCCTGCGCCGCCCCGCACCCGCGCCGCCGGCGGCTGGGCGCCTCGCCGCTTCCAGCGCGCGCCGCCCTGCGTCTGCTCCGCGAGCCGCGCCGCCTCCGCGCCCGCGCCCGCGCCTCCAGCGCGCCGCCGCCGCCAGGCCGCCGCTAATGCGGTGCGCTCCCAGCTTCGCGCGCCTCCTCCGCGGGCCCGTTGCCCAGGCCAGCCCGCTGCCCTGCCAGCCCGCTCCCCAGCCAGCTCGTTCTGGTCCCCCGTCGTCCGCGGCAGCGCCCCTGGCTCCGCGCGCCGCTCGGTACCGCCGCGGGCGCCGGATTCCTGCTGCCCGCGGTGCCCAGCCTCCCCGCCGCCAGCCGCCGCCCCGCGCCGAGCCAGCCGCGGCCTGGCGCCCCGCTGAGCCGCCCGGCTCCAGCGCCGCCGGCGCCGCCGCCGCGGCCGCCGCCTCCAGCCGCCTCCGTGCCCTCAGCCGTCTGCCTCTTCCTCGCCCTCCCTCGGCGCCTCCCGCCCCTGCGCTCAGCCTCCGCCTCCCGCGCCTAGCGCCACGGCGCCCTCTGGCCGCCCGCTGGGGAGAGCAGTGCCCGCGAGGCCCGCCGGCCCTGCCTCAGCGGCGCTGGCGCCAGCCCGCCTCGCAGCCGCGGGCGCGGCGGCCGCCCGCCAAGGCCTGGCCTGGGTGGCGGCCAGCACCTCGTCCGCACCGTGCCCTTGCAGCGCGCTTCCGAGGGCCTGCTGGAGCTCGCGGATGGCCGCTGAACGCCGCGCGCGTCGTCAGCGGGCGCCAGCCTCTTGGCGAAGGCCACCGCTTCCTCCCCCAGCCGCCCGTGGTCCTCTACCACGAAAGGCAGCGCGGGCACCAGCGGATAGCGAGCTCGCTTCCTTCTCTCCGCTGCAGCTGTGGCAGCCCCGCCCCTTCTCGCAGCCCCGAACGCTAGGGCGTCCTGCGGGGCCGCGCTGACGACCGTGAGGTCGACCAAGAGCGGCTCAGCGACGCCAGGCGCGTGGATCACCAAGTCCGTGCGCGCCTCAGGGTTCTGCGGCGAGGCGTGCGGGAGCAGCACCTCGAGGTGCACGGAGCAGCCCTGCGCCTCGCACAACTCCGCGAGCACTGCGCTTCCCGCGTCGTGCCGGCGGACGAGCCAGCCGCCGACTGCGCAGCCCCGCGCGTGCCTGCCCTTCGGGTCGAGCGGCGTGCCGCAGGTCCCGCCATCGGGGTGGCGGTGCCGGCAGATCGAACTTCAGGTGAACTCCCGGTGCGGTGCCGAACTGCGCGTTGCTCAGGCGGTGGCACGCCTTCGGGGGGGCCTGCAGCCAGCCGCTTGCCCCGGGCCCTCCCGCTGAGCGCAAGGCGGCCTCCGCGGGCGGGCCCTCTCCTGCCGCCAGGTCGGCGACCAGGCGGGCAGCCGCAGCAAAGGGGGGCCGTAGCCAGCGCGTGCTGCGTTGCTGCCAGTCCTTCGTCGCTCACTTGCGCCGCAGTGTCCCCCAGCCCCTCCTGCAGCGTGGCCGTGGCCGCAGGGAGGCAACGCCGCGCACAAGGGCTGAGGGCGGTTAGGGCGCTGGCGTCCGTCAGTCCCAGCCGGTGCAGGCAGTGCGGCAGGCTGTGGTGCCAGGAGGCGGCGTGGGCGGCTGGCGCGGTCAGCTCCACGCTCTGGAACCCGGCGCCGCCTTCCTTCCCAGCGATTCAAAGTTGTTGTTGCCCGCCTTGCTTTTCAACTGTGGCCCGAGAGCCTGCTGCGCCTCCGCCGCTTGCGCTGCGTTCATGGCCCGGGCCTCCGGGATGCGGGCCACGAGCGCGTAGTCAGAGCCCGTCTTGAGTCGGAGTAGCGCCGCGGCGGACTGCCCGTCCAAGCCGGCCGCCTGCAGCTGGCGCAGTCGCCTGAAGGCGCGCGCGCGCGCTTCTCTGCCAGCGCGGCCACCTCTGGGCTCCCCTCGGCCAGGATACTCCCCGCGGCCGGGGCGGCAGCAGGGGCCGCATGCACCGGCGGGAAGGCCCCGTGCCTCAGGACGAGCGCCCGTGGCTCCACTTCCCACCGGCCCGTCAGCGCGGCCACTGGCACCTCCCGTCCGGGGCTCAGCTTGGTGTTCGACGGGTTGCCCCGCAACCCCACCTCGGCGCAAGCCCGCGCAAACACCTCCGCCGCGGGCTGCGCAGCCGCCGGCGTGCGCTCCTCCTTCTCCTCCTCCTCCTCCTCCTCCTCCGCCTCCTCCTCCTCCTCTTCCTCCTCCTCCTCCTCCTCCTCCTCCTCCTCCTCCTCATCCTCCTCCTCCTCCCCCTCCTTTCCCTTCTCCTCCTCTTCCTTCTCCTCCTCCCCCTCCCTCCTCCTCGTTCCCTCCTCCTCCTCCTCCTCCTCCTCCTCCTCCTCCTCCTCCTCCTCCTCCTCCTCCCACTCTCACCACCCCCAACAGGCTGACAAGCGCAAGCGCCCCCGGAAGGTCCGGGCTGCCAGCGAACAGAAAGGTGACTGCACCCCTCCTCGCGGCGGGCAGGTCGCGCGCGCCAGTCCCCCCGGCTGTTCCACCGAGCCTGGCGTTCTTACCTGGCTGATTCTCTTCTCCTCACTCCTTGCCGTCATCTTTGTGGTCGTCGGCGAAGACGTCGTGGCCGTGCCCCAGTTGCGGTGCCCCTTGGCCGTGCCCCCGGTGACATGGCCGCGGTCAGGATTGCGATAGTGGTGGTGGCCGACAATGTCGTGATCATGGTGATTCATGGTCGTCGTCGCCCTCCTCTCTCCTTCTTTCATTTTCCATCCTCCATCCTCCATCCTCCTCCTCCTCCTCCTCCTCCTCCTCCTCCTCCTCCTCCTCCTACATCTCCTACGTCTCCTCGCCTCCTCTCCTCCCTCCTCCTCCTCTCCTCCTCCTCCTCCTCCTCCTCCTCCTCCGCCTCCCTCCTCCTCCGCCTCCTCGTCATCCTACTCCGCCTCCTCCTCATCCTCCTCATCCTCCTCCGCCTCCTCCTCATCTTCCTCCTCCTCCTCCCTCCTCCTCCTCATCTTCCTCCTCCTCCTCCTTCCTCATGGCCGTCGCTGTGGTCGTCGCTTTCGTCGTCGTCGTCGTCGTCGTCGTCGTCGTCGTCGGCGTTGACTCACCTCTGGCAGGGGCGTCGTGTCCTGCCAAGGCCCGTCTGGTTCGCGACGCCCAAGCGCAAAGCCTCTGCGACGGCGAAGCCGGCCCGCCTCCGAGGCTCGTCGCAACGCGCGCCGCCGTGGGCATCCACATCGTCTTCGCCGCAGGAGCCGTCGTGCTCGCAATCGAGTGGGTAGGGGAGACGATGGACGAGAACGACGGGGAGTGGAATCCTTTTTCCCCTCCCCCGTCCCTCTTCACCTTCCGCGCCCCCATCCTCCCCCCTGTCCCTCTCGTTCTCCTTCTCGTGCTATTCCCCCTCTCCATGACCCCCTCCCTTGTTCTTTCCTCTCTCCTCATAGTACTACCCTCCTCCTCCTCGTCATGCTCCCCATCCACTTCATCCTCCTCTTCAACCTTCTCCTCCTCCTCCTCCTCCGCCCCCTCATCCTCCCCCTCCTCCTCCTCCTCCTCCTCCTCCTCCTCCTCCTCCTCCTCCTCCTCCTCCTCCGTCTCCTCCTCCTCCTCCTCCTCCTCCTCCTGCTCCTGCTCCTGCTCCTGCTCCTGCTCCTCCTCCTCCTCCTCCTGCTCCTGCTCCTGCCTCCTCATCCTGCTCCTCCTCTCCTCCTCCTCCTCCTCCTCCTCCTCCTCCTCCTCCTCCTCCTCCTCCTCCTCATCCTCCTCCTCCTCCTCCTCCTCCTCCGCCTCGCTCCGCCTCCTCCTCCTCCTCCTGCTCCTGCTCCTGCGCCTGCTCTTTCTCCTCCCTCCTCCTCCCCTCCTCCTCCTCCTCCTCCTCCTCCTCCTCCTCCTCCTCCTCCTCATCATCATCATCATCATCATCATCATCAATCATCATCATCATCATTCATCATCATCATCATCCATCCCTCCTGCCGCTCCTCCTCCTCCTCCGCCTCCTGCTCCTCCTCCTCCTCCTCCTCCTCCTCCTCCTCCTCCTCCTGCTCCTCCTCCTCTCCTCCTCCTCCTCCTCCTCCTTGTCCTCCTCCTCCTGCACCTGCTCCTGCGCCTGCTCCTGCGCCTGCTCTTCTCCTCCTCCTCCTCCTCCTCCCTCCTCATTCTCCTCCTCCTCCTGCTACTCCTGCTCCTACTCCTCCACCTCCTGCTCTTCCTCTTCTCCTCCTCCTCTCCTCCTCTCCTCCTCCTCCTCCTCCTCCTTCCTCCGCCTCCTCCTCTCCTACCTCCTCCTCCTCCTCCTCCTCCTTCCTCCTCCTCCTCTTCCTCCTCCTCCTCCTCCTCCTCCCCTCCTCCTCTCCTCCTCCTCCTCCTCCTCCTCCATCTCTCCTCCTCTCCTCCTCCTCATCCTCCTCCTCCTCCTCCTCCTCCTCCTCCTCCTCCTCCTCCTCCTCCTCCTCCTCCTCCTCCTCCCCTTGGGCGCCAACCAATTAGGCACCAAGCATCAGGTGGAGCGAGAGGGGGTTCCGGCCTCCTGGCCTGTGCGCAGGAGATGTACGTTCGAGTCCAATGGGCACTCGAGGACTTGAGGAAGTTCCAGCAGCCGTGCAAGGGGCCTGTCAGCATCCACAATCCGCGGTGAAGAAGCTGGACATCATGCGCAAGCTGAGCCGTGGTGTCAACCCGCTGAGAGGCGTCCCGCTGGAACGCCACCTGGCGGGTGCACAGGGGTGAACGGCTGCGAGTGCCTGTGCTCCGACCCTGTGCTCGCGCTGATCGTCGGCGCCGTCACTGGGCCAGATCATACGCTTGACCCACGCGTGCGCCAGACCAGAGTGGCGTGGTGTTTGGCGAGGTCCTCGCGAAACCTCTGGAGCGCTGTCTTCAAGAGACGATGGTCGGTCCAGAGGCCAGTTAGGCTTTGTGGCGCCGCATGCTGCTGGTCTTCTGAGAAGCCTGCCCCATGACGCGTGCGCGCTCGCTGAAGAGGCCGCACAGCCAACTCAGCTTGGTAGATTCGCCCTCCTCCGCCTCCTCCTCCTCCTCCTCCTTCTCCTCCTCGTCCTCCTCCTCCTCCTCCAACTCCTCCTCCTCCTCCTCCTCCTCATCATCATCATCACCACCACCATCATCATCATTATCATCATCAGCATCACCATCATCATCATCCTCATTCTTTACCCATATCCGTCTCCTCCTCCTCCTTCTCCTCGTCCTTATCGCTCCCTCCCTTGCTAACAAAATGCATCCGAAGTCTCTACCGCCTACCTCCTGCCTCTCCCCAACGGGGACCTCTGCCCGCTGGGCGGCGGCCAGCTGGGCCCCCAAATGTGCGTCAGGCCGCGACTGTCGTTGGCCACCTTCGGGTCGGGGGGGAGGGGCCAGAGGTTGAGAGGGTCGGACGCCAAGTGTTCACATGCGCTGGTCCTGGCCAGGTGGATGTTTGTACGGCCCGCTGGGCTTCACTGTGGCCCGGTCGCGCCTCGGAGCCCCACCGGTTCTAGTCTGACCAGATCGTCCAACCTGAAGTGCAATCACAAGTCGAAGGTTGCAAGTTTCCAGCTGCTGCCCACTCTTAACGTGGCTGAACGAACGACAATGTATGTGCATGCTTACGGCACGTCGGAAATACGATAGCAAGAACCTCGACAACACGCATAGTAAACATCGGTATATCGACAGCACACACGCATGTTCCAGTTTTAACGTATTGGCGCACGCTCCTCCTCCTCCTGCTCGGTCTACTCCTACTGATGTATATCCTAGCGTTATCCTCCTTCTCATCGTTCCCAATACTCCTGCGATTGCCTCCTATCAATCCCCAAACTCATCCTCCTCTTTTTCCTTCTCCTGCTCCTCCCCCTTCTCCTCCGCGATCGGGTCAGAGCATTGACGCATTTGTGGATGAAGGCTGAACGCGGCATGCACGAACAGGCAATGCGGCATCCATCCAGTGGGACACAACAAAGTCCCAAGACGGACCCAACAAAGCCCAAGAGGAAAGGGGAAGAAGGGGGAGCAGGGTTTAGAACGGCATGGGAATGATGACCAGCATGAGCGTGATGCTGAAGATGGGGATAGGAATGGTGATCATGACGACAATCATGATGGTGATGATGACGATGGTGGCGATGACGATGATGATGATGATAATGATGATGATGCTGGTGGTGGCAATGGTGATGATGATGCTGATGTTGCTGGAGATGATAATGACGACGCTGATGATGATGATGATGCTGATGGTGGTGATGATGATGGTGATGCTGACGCTACTGAGTGCGCTGAGTATGATGAAGATACGAACGATTGTGACGATGGTTACGCTGAATAGGATGATGCTGGTAATGATGGCACTGATGAGGATGGCGACGAGGCAGGTAATGATGAGGATGGTGATGGGGATGACGGTAACTATGGAAATAGAGGCATGTAACATACACAACCAACGGATGCGTCCAAGAGTCTTTCCTCTGAGAACCGTGGTAAGATGCTAAAGGAACTTTGGTCTCATGATCTCCAATACTTATATCCTGGGCTTCACGCTCAGAGAGAGAGAGATGGATTGGGATAAGCCATGGCTAAGACAATGGGTATCCCCTATAGCAAATGGTAAGAAGCGCGGGAAGGGAGGAGGCCGGCCGGAGGCGGACGACGACACGACACGAGCCGCGCGCGCACCCCCCGGCGCGCTCCTTTTCTGGCTTGATACCAAACAGCTGTCAATGTATCAATGTAGAGCAATGAAGGCAGCAGGAGAGGCAACTATATGAGGCGGAGAGGAGCACATTTACTCCCCCCGCGGCGGGGTCCGTAAGATCCCGTCAGCCTACATCCGCCAGCCTCTGTACATATGTGCAACCTGGGGGAGCGCGAAACACTCCAGGCCGGCTGGGGACGATGGGCTGAAGGACCCCGACGTACCCCGCCTCCGCGAAAAGCCGAGACTCTCATATCGTAACGACTTGGTCGCACGATTGGCTTCTTTGCTCACATCTTGTGCCAGTACTTCTTCTGGTCAAAGCGCCACGAGCCTTGGGCAGAACGTGCCGGCGGCGCAGGGGGCCTGGGCGCCCGCGACGAAGAGGCGCCACCTTTCGGCCAATCGGGCGAATGAGACGCCGAAGGCTTGGCGCCTTTGCCGGAGCCAGCATGTGGGGCTGGCCTCGCATGCTTGGTCTTGCCCTTGTCCTTGCTGCATCCCTTGCCTTGGTCTTTCGGGAACCAATGGTTATAGTCATAGTTGGACAAGTACTGCCATTCACATTCTTTGTTGGAGTGCCAACAAACTTGGTCGCGATGCGCCCAGAAACCTAACACCTCGCCGCGCTCGGTGGCCTTCGGGTAGTGCCGCATGGGGTTCAGTCTTGTTGCTCATCTTCGTCGTGGCGCGCGCCCATATGGCTCCGCCGCGCGCGCGGTCATTGGCTGATCCCACGCGGCGCCATCCCTGTGCCACCCCGCAGGGGCGGACGAGGCAAAGGACGGAACATGATCCTCGATGTGAGACATAACAGCGCCCGCAGCACGGGAACCGCACGGACCGTCTGGGGAACGCCTCGAGGCTTCGTCACCCGCCGAAACGGTTTGACCACCGGCGGAGTAGGGGGACTCAGTGGCATCATCACCGACCCGAACGTTAGGGACGTTGGACGGTCTAGGCGGCGCAGGTGGAGCCGGGAGGCCAGCAGAGCCTGACCCTGCCGGCGACGCGGAAGCCACCTCCTGAACGGCTGGGCCGTCGGAGGGTTCGTCAGCGGCTTCCTCCTCGCGAAGGCGGGTCTCGCGCTGTAGCTTCGCGTGCCTAGCGACGCCCATCGCGGCAGTCGCCACGCAATGACCGAAGCACCCGTTAGCAATGCGAAGAGGAGCGGGGTCACAGTCTTGTTCGGGATTGGACTCCAGGTGTGGGTGCAGAAAAACGACGGCGGCTTGCAATGCTCCGTCGTGGCGACCGAGCTCGGCACGACGCTCAGTGCAAAGGTCGCGGGACCACGCTTCGACGAGGTCATCGGAATTGACAGCCGAACGGATACGGCTGTCCAGCGCATGCGCATCGAGGCGGCGCTGTTCGACGTTGACTCCGTCGGCAGGCTCGCGAGTGAATATGGCAAGCGTGGGAAAGGCGATGTGATATCCGTCGTCGAGGAAACAATTGGTGATCTAGCCAACATTCACAAAAGCACGCATGACTCGAAGGTCGAGGTTGAGCTGTGCGATGGGAGTCCGCCAGTTTTGCTCGAGGGCCTCTTGCACCGATGCTGGAACCACATGTTCTTGCTCTCCCTCCAGGAGCGACAGGCGATGCCTGTCGGCCGTTCCCGTTCTAAGGTTATGGCACATGTGCTCCATGTCGAACTGGGATGCGACGCTGATGGCTTCCTGCTGCGACGTTGCTACGCGCAGGGTGCCGTCCTCGCGCCGAGGGGTCATCTGTCGTTCGGATGGGTCGAGAGTGACTTCCCCGTTCAGCCACCGCTGGGCGTGGCACCCGCGGACGGCATTGGAGTCAAAAGGAATAGGAGCAGATCTCGCGTCGTCTGTCGACTCGGCTTGGCCGGCGACGGGAGTAGCAGCGCGGAGTGGGTGCGCGGCGCAGATCTTGTTGCGCCGGGACACTGATTTTGCCGAGCGAGAAGGGCGAGCAGTGAGCTGCTGCGCCCAAACTACAGGAGGGCGTCCACGATGGCTGGGCTATGTGGCGTCTTCTCCAGCACCCTGAGCGGCAGACATCCATGGCGCAGTCCCAGAACGTGCATTGTACACGGTCTGGAGAGTCGGTACGAAGGTGCCTGCTCTTTGCTGGGCTGTTTCCCAGCGTTCCCATCCTCCACTAGGGCTTGTGCTTGCCTCGTCTTCACCTGGACAGTCGAACGCAGCCAGAGGAGGGCATGAAAATGGGCGCGCGTACTGGTCGACGTCTGTGGCCCATATGAGGGGCCACCACTCTGCGAGCTTCGGCTCGTCGACATTGGCTCTGCGCTCCAGGAACTCCAGCCACTTGATGAACCGTCTCTTGAGAGGTTCGATGCACTGGAAGAAAGGCCCATGGCGCGCCGGCGGCTGGGCCGCGACACTGTCTGGGACCCAGGCGGGCGCACGAGCGGGGCGGCTGCTGCCAAAGGTTCGGCCGGCCCCAGCCATAAGGATGTGTCCACCGCTCGCCCATTTATTTGGCTTCGCCAAGGGCTATGAAGGGGCGCGTGGGTATTTTCTCCTTTGCAAATTTCATGTTAGTGGTCTCGTGCCGAACAACGACAGATCTTATTGAACTGATCTGCTCAACAAAAAAAATTAGCCTGGCGAAGGACCCAACCATATGCAACTGTGAATACCGCAAGTGTGAATATCGTTTTCGGCGGCGCTACCTCTGGGTAGTGGAGACGCATGCGAACACCCCCACTGGGGCCTTCGGTGGAGCTCCCTATGGGGCTACGAAACGCTGCCCTGGGTGGGGGAACCGCATGCAGGCAGCCCCACTGGGGCCTTCGGTGGAGCTCCCTGTGGGGCCACGAAACGCTGCCCTGGGTGGGGGAACCGCATGCGGGCACCCCCACTGGGGCCTACGGTGGAGCTCCCTCTGGGGCTACGAAACGCTGCCCTGGGTGGGGGAACCGCATGTGGACACCCCCACTGGGGCCTTCGGTGGAGCTCCCTATGGGGCTACGAAACGCTGCCCTGGGTGGGGGAACCGCATGCGGACACCCCCACTGGGGCCTTCGGTGGAGCTCCCTATGGGGCCACGAAACGCTGCCCTGGGTGGGGGAACCGCATGTGGACACCCCCACTGGGGCCTTCGGTGGAGCTCCCTATGGGGCTACGAAACGCTGCCCTGGGTGGGGGAACCGCATGTGGACACCCCCACTGGGGCCTTCGGTGGAGCTCCCTATGGGGCTACGAAACGCTGCCCTGGGTGGGGGAACCGCATGTGGACACCCCCACTGGGGCCTTCGGTGGAGCTCCCTATGGGGCTACGAAACGCTGCCCTGGGTGGGGGAACCGCATGTGGACACCCCCACTGGGGCCTTCGGTGGAGCTCCCTATGGGGCCACGAAACGCTGCCCTGGGTGGGGGAACCGCATGTGGACACCCCCACTGGGGCCTTCGGTGGAGCTCCCTGTGGGGCTACGAAACGCTGCCCTGAATGGGGGAACCGCATGTGGACACCTCCACTGGGGCCTTCGGTGGAGCTCCCTCGGGGGCTACGAAACGCTGCCCTGGGTGGGGGGACCGCACGTGGACACCCCCACTGGGGCCTTCGGTGGAGCTCCCTATGGGGCCACGAAACGCTGCCCTGGGTGGGGGAACCGCATGTGGACACCCCCACTGGGGCCTTCGGTGGAGTTCCCTATGGGGCTAC